CATTAAGCTCTTCTCTTAGCTATTTGCAGGCAGGTTTCTCAACATGATTTCCCAGATAGAATCTCCTTAGACACATCCCTCCTCCATGACATCATCCAATTTGCTAGCATGGCACCCTACTACTGAGAACTTGATCGCTCATTGGTTACTTGTCTGCCGCTGGCCTTGTTTGCTGGGGCTAAATAAGATACCATCAGGCTTAATCACTGCCTGACGTCGGCCTCTCTAGTGCCGGGTCAGGCACACAGTAGGTCCTCAAACAATATGGACGAGTGAATGAATAAGCACACACCAGCCATGGAATATGAAGGGAGGAGTCATTCAAGGACAGGCTTTTTTAGAGTGTTGTATGTCCAGTGACATGTCAAATGACAAATTCACATTGAGTTTTATGGATTATCTTTTTAAAAAATCTCTTTCTTTCTTTTTTTTTTTTTTCCTTAGAGACAGGGTTTCTCTGTGTAGCTTTGTGCCTTTCCTGGAACTCGCTTTATAGACCAGGCTGGCCTCGAACTCAGAGATCCACCTGCCTCTGCCTCCCGAGTGCTGGAATTAAAGGCTTGTACCACCACTGCCCGGCAAAAAATGTATTTCTTTTATTGTGCCTCTGTGTTTGTATGTACATGTGTGTGTAGGTGCACCCCAAGACCAGAAGAAAACAATGGTTCCCCAGAACTGGAGTTTCAGGCAGTTGTGAGCCAAGCCCCTGATATGGGTGCTGGGAACTGAACTCTGGACCTCACTGCGAGAGCAGCAAGTGCTCCCTGGCTGAGCCACCTCTCCAGTTTCTTTATGGATTATCTTGTTAGTCCTGATAATATTTTTCTAAGATAGGCATTATTTTCCCGTTCGTGAGGTGAGGAAACTGAAGTCGAGAAATGAGGTGTTTGCAATTAGAAAGCAGCAAAGAAAAACCCAGGAGAGCCCAGGGGTCGGCCATAGAGCATTCAGCCGGCTTTGGGAAGAAGGTAAAGGAGGAGGTGGCTGTGGCCGGGTTAGAGCTCCCTGATAACAAGAGAAGAAACACAAGTTAGGGTCTGAACAAAAAGGGTAATAATAATGCTGCCTGCCATGGCTTTTACACTAGTGAAGCCCAGAGATCGGGCCAGGCCTCCGTGAGAAAGCCAAGCTCTGGAAACTGCCGCCACACCACGTTCTCATTCTCCTGTCTCCCGGCAGGGACCGCGTGGCGCGGATCGGCCTGGGTGTGATCTTGAACCTGGCGAAGGAGCGCGAGCCGGTGGAGCTGTCACGGAGCGTGGCGGGCATCTTGGAGCACATGTTCAAGCACTCGGAGGAGACGTGCCAGCGGCTGGTGGCGGCGGGCGGCCTGGACGCCGTGCTGTACTGGTGCCGCCGCACAGACCCGGCGCTCCTGCGCCACTGCGCCCTGGCGCTGGCGAACTGCGCGCTGCACGGGGGCCAGGCGGTGCAGAGATGCATGGTGGAGAAGCGCGCCGCCGAGTGGCTCTTCCCTCTCGCCTTCTCCAAGGAGGACGAGCTGCTGCGGCTGCATGCCTGCCTGGCGGTGGCGGTGTTGGCTACCAACAAGGAGGTGGAGCGCGAAGTCGAGCACTCGGGCACGCTAGCGCTGGTCGAGCCGCTCGTGGCGTCGCTGGACCCCGGCCGCTTCGCCCGCTGCCTGGTGGACGCCAGCGACACAAGGCAGGGTCGCGGGCCGGACGACCTGCAAAGTCTGGTGCTGCTGCTCGATTCGTCCCGTTTGGAGGCTCAGTGCATCGGGGCTTTCTATCTGTGCGCCGAGGCTGCCATCAAGAGCCTACAGGGCAAGACCAAGGTACTGTTGTAGAGGAGGGCGGCTCAAGGGTTAGAGAGCGTGTGGGAAGGAGTCTCAGAGGACGCTATATGCAACTGGGATTTGGAGTCCTCGTAAGAATGAAGTGAATAGGGGGCTGGAGAGATGGCTCAGCAATTAAGAGCACTGGCTGCTCTTCCAGAGGTCCTGAGTTCAATTCCCAGCAACCGCATGGTGGCTCACAGTCATCTATAATGGGGTTCTGAGGCCCTGTTCTGTCCTTCAGAATATGCAAATGGTACACTCATATGCATAAATAATTAATCTTAAAAAAGAATGAAGTGAATATCCAGCGATGATGGAGCATGTCTGCAGAGGCAGACAGACCTCTGTGACTTTGAGGCTAGCCTGGTCTACATATCGAGTTCCAGGCCAGCCAGGGCTTAAAAAAAAAAAAAAGTATAAGGACTTAGGTGAAGCAATCAGAAGGTAGAAGGACCAGTCATTTTGGCCTTGAAGGTGAGACTCAAAGTTGTACTTGGCCTTTGGGGACAAGAGGCAGATACTGAGAAGTTTTAAAATAGGAGACCCTTGAGTTTTACAAAGATCAACCTGGCTGTTGTAGAAGTGGGGGTGATCATGGTAGCTCGAGGCTGTTGTGTTGGGGAGACAAAGAGAGTGGGGGAAGGGAGGAGTGTGGACTACAGCAGAGAGAAGTAGACAGGTTAGGGATTTCTGCTTGGGTCGGGGGTGGGGGGGCTGACGGTGCTTCTCGGCCATGAACATGAGGAGGTAAACTGGGCGAGAGATCACAGTGGAAGACCAGTCGGCCCTGTTGAGTTCCGGGTGTCCAGCCGATGTCCAGTCGGGAAGCTTCAGGGGGCAGCTGAGCCACCTGGAAACGAGATGGCAGCTGGGGACAGAGGCCTGGGGTAGGACCTCAGTGTAAATGTCACGAAGGATCCCCAGGGCCAAGATCTAAACCACAGCCTTTGCCTACTCCCTCAACTTACTGTGACCTTGAGCAGCTGGCTTTCTCCCTCCGAACCACGTTTTTACTTTTTGGAGGAGTCAGTGGAATGCATGGCGGAGTTGCTGATCTATCTGGATTCCCATGAATTAGTGGGGTTACAATCAGGCCAGAAAAACTAAGGGTTTAGGACCACCACAGGTGTGCGAGCTGGGAGTGTGGGGCTCAGGGTCTGCTGCCACCTGGCGGTCATATTGAGAACTACAGACTTTATCCTAGGGCGGATGGGCAAGGAAGTTGGAGGTCCTAATCAAGAGTGGATGGGTTTCCGGAGGGCAAATGCATTGGGGATGCAGGAGGGGCCGCGACACGGGTGACTTAGTGATGAAGGCTAGGACAGTTGGTGGGCCTTTCCTCAGTGAAAAGAGAGATGAGACTGGGCACTTCCTGTGGCAGCTGGGGAGCTGGGAACCTTAGGCTCCCTCAATCCATCCTCCTTCCCAAGGTGTTCAGTGACATCGGTGCCATCCAGAGCCTGAAACGCCTGGTTTCTTACTCCACCAACGGCACTACGTCGGCGCTGGCGAAGCGTGCCCTGCGCCTGTTGGGCGAGGAAGTACCCCGGCGCATCCTGCCCTGCGTGGCCAGCTGGAAGGAGGCCGAGGTCCAGACCTGGCTGCAGCAGATCGGCTTCTCCCAGTACTGCGAGAACTTTCGGGTAGAGCCGCGGGCAGCTACCTCCCCCTACACCAAACGGGCGCATCCCTGAGGGGCGCGCGCGCGCGCGCGCGGCCCCTGGGGGCGTCCTGAGCACAGGCGTCCGAGTGCCCTGTAGGCCTCAAGCCAGCAGCGCCACCCTGGCCACTTAGCAGTGGGAAACCCGCAGTCAGCCACCCTCAGAGTCCCATTGGCCTCCAGCGCCACCTCCTGTTCCTTTCCCTTGCATCTTGCGCTGGGGGGGCGGAGGGAGGGGGAGGGGAGCCTTCCTCACACCTCCCCCTCCCCCAGGATCAGCAGGTAGATGGTGACCTGCTTCTACGGCTCACAGAGGAAGAACTCCAGACAGACCTGGGCATGAAATCAAGCATCACACGCAAGAGGCAAGGAGCCCCCAGACAGTCCAACCCAGCTGGGGCTTAACTAGCCTCCCCCTCTGCCACCAGCCCGTCCTTAGCATCCTTAGCATCAGAACTGTAACATCATCTTCGACCTCCTGGGCAGGTTCTTTAGGGAGCTCACGGAGCTCAAGACCTTTGCCAACTATGCTACGTGCGACCGCAGCAACCTAGCGGACTGGCTAGGCAGCCTGGACCCTCGCTTCCGCCAGTACACCTACGGCCTGGTCAGCTGCGGCCTGGACCGCTCCCTGCTGCACCGAGTGTCAGAGCAGCAGCTCCTGGAGGACTGTGGCATCCGCCTGGGGGTGCATCGCTCACGCATCCTCTCTGCAGCCCGAGGTAAGAGCGCCCACCTGGGAAGCCCACTCCAGCTCCAATCCTGAAAGGGATGGGCCGCCCCAGGCTGGAGACTCAGCCTCCCTGAGGAGTGAGCGCCTGGCTGGGTTAGACTGGCCTTGAGGATGTAAAGATGAGTCTGCTGCCCTTTGCCCTTAAGAAGCCCTCCACCTGAGATGGGTACCAGGGTGGGAGGAAGGAGGTGTACAATCAGGAGGTGGCCACGGTAGGAAGCGTTTTCAGGACGCCTATGGGAGCCCAGAGGAATCACTGCCTACCTTGGTCACTTGGAGAGGAGGAGATGTTGTCCAGGTTTTGAGGGATGTGTGGGGGCAGGGAGAACAGGAAGGACAGCCAGGCAGGGGTAGCTTTAGCAAGTATAAGGACAGGTAGGACAGTACCTGGGTGCCATTGGTGGGGCACTGGTAGTTTGGGGTGGGGAGGTGGGGGTTGGGGGAAGGCTTATCCTAGTAATGTCCCAGCAGAGCCTAGGGCATGGCTAGCCAGCCTTTCTTTCTTTCTTTTTCTTTCTTTCTTTCTTTCTTTCTTTCTTTCTTTCTTTCTTTCTTTCTTTCTTTCTTTCTTTCTTTCTTTCTTCCTTCCTTCCTTCCTTCCTTC